GGGGGGCAATGTCTGTGTTCGCTTCATTATATCTTATTTAGCTAGAAAATAATTGTTGTAGGAACTTAAAAAATGGATAAAATGCCATCGTGTGCAAACTTAAATATGTAGACAGCAATTAACAGACACTGCATTATCATCAGAATTAAAACTTAAGCCTTTGCTAAGTTATTTCGTGTATAAACTTGTTAAACTAGCGGTCAGAATGGTTCTGTATTTCTTGCCTCCCTCCTAACATTATCTTAACGAAAGTCAAAATCACCCCGCAATTACTTCACCTAAAGTGGATAAATATGATTCATAATATCTTAATCTTATGAGAACATCAGGCTTCGCTCCACCTGCAGTAGGACGTAACGTACAATAAATAAACATATAACTTAACGAGTTAACATCTGGAACTGAGAAATGCAGTACTCCTGCGGGTCTCGGCGCGGCCGCACTTACACACACTGTACAAGTACACTCAGCTGCGTAAAAACATATACATTTACAAACTTTACAATCTTGTATGGCGTTTTGATTTCAAAAATATTTCATGCAATAGCATTAAAGTCGGAAGTATTTAAATGGATTCGTGTTTTATATTTTTGAAGTCCAAGGCATTGAGTTTCCGAAGCTTTAAATGTATACACATTTAAGCAGCTGATTGTACATTTTGCTAACAACAGTAACAAGAAAACACAAGAGTTGACAACACGGTTTTCTCTTAGGTTTTAAAAAAGTATGTAAACATAGTCAATCAGTGTCGCGCTGTGAGTGTCGGCCGAGCGTACAGTCACCTCCACAAATATAAAACGACATATTTAATCATTGTTTTGTAAATAGAATATAACATTATGAAAATTCTTATTGCTTCATCGTATAATTTATTTCTTATTAAATTCACGTTTCAATTAAATAAACAAAGTATATAAATATGTAACACAAAAACAATAGTTAATTTAATACAATTAAAAATAATATAAAATTCAGTTTGAATGGTTACCATATTTTTAAAATAATTGGGACTTTTGTTAGCAACTGTACCGTAGTCGTAGTATTTAATACTATAAAAAAAGAATACTTTAAATAGAAGAATACTTTACGTAAATTGTAATACTGAATTAAAACAACAATACCTACATACAAAAATAATACAAATAAATTGAAAATCATAACTTGAAACATGTCGATTAAGTAAGCGCCAAGAACCCAAAGCGGAGTTGAATGTTTACAATCTAAACGAAGCACTTCAATATGACGCCTATTTATAAACATTGTATTCTGTCAAAATTCTAAAAAAAAACGGTTAAAAACACAAACCGTCATTCGATAACAAATATTTCTACATTCAATATTCAATAATCAATACAAAGACTAGCTCCTTTTAAATTCCTATCCGATTGAGTGTTTGTATACCGCGCGGCCGCGAGACGCCGCAGCCCAGCTCGCGGCTCAGCTCGGC